TCTAGCAGCACAATTATCAGTCTTCAAGGCAACATGCTCCATATGATGGTTCCACCAACTGAACCATCATTATCATGGAATCAGTCATAAACTCATAGCTATCATTATGGAACCGGTTTGATTAAGCTTAAGAACAAAAACTTGGTTAGTTTTAGTTAGTTTTTGGCAGAGGTTGCATTTCACTTCTGTGTTTTTATCCTTTTCAGCAACTAGTTGAGACTGACAATATTTCCACTTTAAATGCGTGGGTGTGCTGTTGGTCATTTTCCCCAAAAGTGAGGATGCTAAGGAAAAAACAGAAACTTTGTCTGACAGCTGATGGATAATATGTTATGCCCAAAACACTGATATTGGCTTCCTCTCATACCCTTGGATGCAGGGTAGGCTAAAATTAGCTGCAAGTTAAGCATGATATCAGAGCTGATAAACTTAAGGAAGTTACTCATGCAAGTTTCTTTTGCAAGGAGAGTATTTGAAGAGAACTTTAAGGCAGACAATAGTATCTCTACAAGCTCTTGCAGCCCTGCTGCTTGGAGTAAGAGAGAGATACTAATTAGATGAGCTGAATTGAAGTTTTCGGCTGTTCCATTGTCGTGTTGGCTTTTCAGTCTAAAGGTTTTTGTTTGACTAGTAAAACAGACTCAGGAGGTACCAATTCATTAGGTACACCTGTGCAGTATAATGCAATCCAGTTATTTCTTTAGCTTGCAGTTAGTTGTCATACAAAATGACTGTTAGTTGTAATGAATCCTCCAGTGCACTGCAGCGATGTCCAAATATTCTGTGTGGGGTGGGAAAATGTCTAAAATGGACATGTTGCTACAATGGCCCTTCAGCCACGCACAATGGTGAGTCTTCAGAACCCATGAAATGAATCATTTTCAGAATGTTATCTATTAGGACACAGGTACTGCTTGCCTTAACATCTGTTAAGGAAGTCAGAGACCTTCACTCTCTTGGTTCACATGACTCACAAATGTATCAGACTGGACCAGAACCCATCCTTCATTCGCAAAAGCATGTGGAATTATCTCAGGTCCAGCATGATCAATTTGGAAGCTTTCCATTGTCCATCTCATGGGGAGAAAAACACACATTACAGTTATGCCACATGGTTGCTATAGCACATTATGGGCAACAAACAGATGCACTATGATGCACAGCAGCTCTTTGTCTGTTATGCTGTCAGAAGGGCTAGTAAAGGCGCTGGGCATTTTACAGGCCTTAATGGAGAAGACTGTGGTTGGCTCGCTGCCTTTATTTGCTGGGTGTGTCCAGTTCTATCTTATTGTCTTTTCAGAGCTTTGCTCCAAGTGACCTATGATGAGCTGCTCTCCATTACTCTGTCAATTGCCCAAATTTTCCATTGCACACGGTTCACATCAATCCACATTTGTCTGCTTCAGCCTGTACTAAGCATCGCTATTAAAGCCTGTATGAGTAAGAGGCCTTGCACAATGTCCAAATCCCAGAGCCTAAATTGCATTCTCCAGAGACTTGGGCATGTGAGGGCCTGTGTTGATATACTGTATGTGTAAATGAATATTCAAACCTTTGAAAGTCCTAGTACAATGTGTGTTTACCATGATATTCTGTGAACTTTCTGAGCACAGTTAATGAGCAGTTACATTTATATCTGGATAAGTAAATGCTGAATACTGTAGGTAGTGAACCTTTGTCAAAGACAGAGGTGAGAGTGACTATAGCAAGTAAGTGATATGTACAGTTGAGTGCCTCTGCCTATACATGACTGGACCTAATGTTGAACTGAATGTCATAATGTACTTATAGTGTATTCACTTCATGAAGAGAACAAGTGATCCATAGCATCAGTGCATTCAATAAATGTGGTGAGCCATTTCTGTGTGACCATTTTATACTCAAAGTCAGTATCTGCCAGTGTTCACTGAAATAATATGTGAAAAGCAAGCATACAGTTATTGACTACTACCTAAGACTTAATGCTCACAGACAATTATGACAGGGAAAGCTGTAACTAATGAATGTAAATTAACAGGCTTGTACAAGGGACAGTGTTTCCTTTATCTATTTCCAGAAGTTAATATCTGCAGTTTTTTTTTTTTGCTAGTGCAAGTGGTACAGCGGGCTCAGAGTACCCATAGCACAAGTTTGATCTTCAAAGCAAATGTAATATGGAAACAGTGCAAACTTTTAGTTATCCAAAGTGGTCATAGATACTGTATCATACCCTGCTGAATTACTGTTATCACTTGCTAGTGGCATCGATGTACAGTAAGGATAAGGATAATCACCTTTATTGGCCAAGTATGTTACACACAAGGAATTTTTTTCCAGTACAAGGATAGCAGTGTCAATTGGAAGCGCCGCAACTTTGGTCCAGATTGAAAAATCTTAGTTTACATGGACTGCAGTGCCATTTGTGGCGGAGGGGAATATGCCACCGCCTTGTGGGGGGAATAATGAACCCTAAACTAAGGAAGACTGAGTGAGTAACAGGATCTTGGTCCCCCCACCCAGTGCTTTAGGTCTCTGTATAGCAGTTGGTATATGTTTGTACTTATCGTGTTGCTCAGGCGAGCTATAGTCAAGGTGGGGTGGGCTCCAGGATTTACTTTATACACGATGGCCCCTGGAGTGTGTATGTATGCAGGTGAAATCCTCCTCCTAAATGCACAACCCACTCCTCCCCAGACCAACACGATAAGAGAGACGCCCCCACTCCTTAGTATGGGAATATACCTTAAACAAGTTCAGATTAACAACAAAATTTATTCAGTGAAGAGTATGAAAATAGGAGCAATCAATAAAACAAGTTCTCTAGTCCTTCTTCTGTTTGGTTTCTCACACACAAAAATATTTTCAAACCTCAAACTCAGTTCAGATTGGCATTAAAACTACCAATAATAGACAAAGAAAATATTAATAACCAGTGTCTGTTTCGGTTAAGCATCTAAACCAAAAATGTCCTCTCAAAGAAAATATTAAT